TTTGAGCTATCATCAATATCTTTTATCTCATAAATGTAGAATCTTGGTGCAGACTTGCTTAAATGCCATGGATATCTTTCGTATTACATTTCAAGGTTACAATAAAATTTGGATATTCCCTCCGGATCCTTTTAAAGCTCCTCGGATCATATTGGCTGACTATGCAAGTGTTAGATATACTGAATTTATTGCCCCTTTTCATGAAAAAAGGGATAAAAATTCCGCTTAAGTCAGATGCATCTACAACAATACCTGATATCTGTATAAAAAGAAAGGCTAATTTTTGGCTTTTTTTTGTTCTCAGATGTTAGTATATGAGTTTATGCCCAATGGTTCTCTCCATGATCTTCTCTCAGGTAAATTTCTCTTCAGCTTTCTGATGTTGAGAGCACAGTTGTGTTAATCAAGTTGTGTGGACGCACATGGTTTGAATAATGCCATTTGGATCAGCAATGTAAATTAAACATGATAAAACTTTCACACACGAGAGGTTTTTACCTTTTAGAATGAAACTACAAGCTAAATATAGCGATACCTTTCCTATGCCAAAACTGTATAGGTGGTTTCTTTCAAATGTATACTTTCTGAAAATCCTGACCATTTTCCTAATTGTACATGCTGTTTGACTTCATCTTGATATTTGTCTGAAAATCTACCAATATTATCTTCCACTTCAATGATTTTAACTGTTGCTTTATGTTGTTGCAAAATTTCACATTGCTTTATGTGAGGAAATCACAGATGGATGCAGGCATACCTTGAGTTTCCCCATGCGGTTGCACATTGCATTGGGCTCAGCCAAAGGCATCCTCTACCTACATACTGAAGCTGACCCACCAATAATTCATCGGGATATCAAGGCAAACAACATATTGTTGGACTTCAAGTTTACTCCTAAAGTTTCTGATTTTGGAATCTCAAGGCTTGCACCAGTACCAGATACTGAAGGAGCTGCTGCTCATGTATCCACAGTTGTGAAAGGCACACCAGTAAGAGCTTTGTGATTATATCACATTTCCCACAGGCAAACTAGCATAACTTAGTTCTACATTATACAACACCTGGGATTTAATTTTCACCCAATAAGAGAAACCTTGGACTTTAATCTTCCAATTTCTGAGTGACCTGGAACTCATACAATGGCTTGAGCTGCAGTTAAAAATATCTTTTTTGCACCTAATTTTTGAGAAATGATACACCCGTCAGTTGAAGCATGAGTTCTTGCTTGCAGTCGGATATTTATGCTGCTTTGTTAGTTAATTATTTTGATTTGTCATGAAGTTTACTTCCATTTTGTTTTCTGTATAGGGCTATCTGGATCCTGAATATTTCTTGACTCACACGTTGACAGAGAAAAGTGATGTCTATAGCCTTGGAATAGTGTTTCTGGAACTTTTGACAGGGATGCCGCCTATCTCTCATGGCAGAAACATTGTCCGAGAGGTACTAATTATTATTCCACTGCAAGCACTTTATTCAGTTTTGCTGGAAGATTTTTCTCTAAAAGAAAAAAAAAAAAACAGTTATCTTTAAGCTTTATCATTCTGTAATAATTATACCTGATTGATTTTGGTGATTGAGTTTGTATCAATGTCAGGTGAAACATATTTTTCCTTATCTGATTCTTTCTCTAAATTCATTTCAATATTCTTAATAGAAAAAATAGTTAGAAACACTGTGATGATATTATAGTTTACAAGTTTGCATTCTAAATCGTAAATCTTCTCTGGATTTGTTGCTGAATCATTGTTAAATAAGCATATTCAGGCAAGCAATCTGGAAATCCTGAACTTTTTTCTTTTATGAAATCATAAGTAAACGTGTACTACAGGTTTATGGAGCTTGTCAATCAGGATTGATGTTTTCCATCATAGACCGGAGCATGGGTTCATACTCTTCTGAAATCATCAAGAAATTTATGGCACTGGCCCTGAAGTGTTGCCAGGATGATCCCAAGGAACGACCGACAATGTTGGAAGTTGTGAGAGAGTTAGAGAACTTATGTTCACTGCTTCCGGAGTCCGACATGATTCCAACAGAGTCAGATGCGTCCATTTCCGAAGTGTCAGGGGTTGGCTCATCGCATCTCTACTTTGGAAAGAATTCCCATCCCCAAATGACCACTGAAATCATAGGAAGTGAACTTGTTAGCGGTGTAATCCCCACCATCAAGCCTCGCTGATGCAAGCAGCCTTGTTTACTCAATGTTGGAATCAAATGTGCTCTCATCAGTTCATCATGTTGAATATTTTGAAAGCAAATGTAATGAGGCTGCTCAGTCACTGTATATGGCTTTAATTTTACGTGAAAAATGGGAAACCAATAGCTATGTATGTAAATACTAAAATTGTGCATTTTGTCTGGAAAATAATAGAATATCATCACTAATAATGAAGATAGTGTTTCAGATTTTTTTTTTGAATGACTTTGAATTTAATTATCTCATAACAATTTCACATTGCTTAGTAGTAAAAACATTCTACAATTTCTTGATGAAATGAATATCCAGGACAGGTCTTACGGTAATATCATCCCCATGTTGAATGATCCTTTGCTTGGATAAATCATAATAACTTCGAGAAATGGTACTCAAAATAAAACCTTTACCTCGACTTACCGTACAAAATCACAAGGTTCGGTGCTTTCACTTGTTTCCTGACAAATTCCCACCAAACTCTACATTATACTTCTATGAATCAACGGACATTGAAAATTACATTATACTTTATTTTCTCATAGCATTGGCTAAAGGCTATTGGGTATTGGAAAAGGATAAAGATTGTTGTAATATTCATATTTTCATAGTCAAAGGAGAACTCCTTTTGTTATGGTGAATGGTGCTGACCTGGTTGTCTCATTCCCCCGGATGGGATTGATACTTGACATTTCCATATCGATATAGAATGAATTATATAAGCAAAGGAATGGGAATGTCATGGTCTTTCTTTCTTGGTAAACACCTGCCTGCTTCTTCAACTGATTTCGACTATGAATTAGTTATTACATCACGTTATTACAATTAATTAGTTAATGCTTGCTCCCTCCACCCTTTTCATAAAAGAAAAGGTACTAGTAATTCACAAGAAACAACCGAACCTCCACATACTACTATTCAATGCAACAAGTTGAAAATTTCAATGGAAACTGGGCCCAAAGACTAGGAAATTTAATCAACCTGAAAAAAACCAAAAAACAGCTCTAAGATGGACCACCAACATATTATGGTGAACAATAATTACGAAAGACTATTCCATAAGAAATTTTCAATGGTGTCGTTATTTCCTCGAAATCGAAATCTAAATCTAAATCATGGGATTTGGAGGGGTATTTACGTCAGGGGCATTTCCTCAACACCATAGATCTGGATAGATCTTTGAAAATCTCATAGTTAAAAGGGGAATTCTTTGTCAATAAGCTAAAATTCTCTTTTAAAATAACCGTAAGGCATTTGTGCTTTATGATTGGGAAAAAGGATATCTACTTATTACTGGAATAGCTGATCATGATTGTGCCTTTGACGTGTAAAATAGAGACTTTGGCTAGTTTGGGAAATAAAGGAACTTAGTATTAACCAAACGGCAATAACTATTTAAATCAAATGAAGTCCAGATTGAATAGGTCTTATCATCAAAACAATATTCTATTATTTTTAATTTAGGATATCAACAATCTTTTTCAATGCTAGGTGATATTTGTAGACCAAGTACTTGGAATCTTTTCCCTCCTTCCCAAGGAAAATGATTTAGACTTTATAGAAAAATTCCACGGAATCTTCAATGTTGCTTTCTAAGAGTATACATGCAATGCAGGGCCAAGTCCCGGGTAAGGACATGGTTGAAAAGCTGTTAATGACTCTTCTACGTAGGGGTGGTAATATAGCACTTTTTGCTGATAGTCAAGGTATCAAACCCTTTAAATTTAACTTAACTGCCATGAAATTAAATTAAATTCCAATCTGAAAGGTTAAAATGTGTGATAAAGAACATAAAAATATAAGATTAATTCATGATTAGACAATCATTTCAAAATAAGTTATTTTAATTTTTATGAACTCATCAATAAAAAAAAAACATTAAGAAAATTTATAATCTAAAAAATATATGTTAAAATTAAGTTTTAAATTTTTATTTTTATACGTTAAGAAAATCAATAATTTAATTGTAGTGAATTCACTGATATTTATCTTTGCCAATTAACCTTTAAATAATAAAATTAAAAGATTTTATTAGCGAGCACATTTATTACATAGCACTTTTTCCCGTTAATATGTACGTATATTTTAACATATATTTTAAGATTATATTTGAGGCTAGATTATAAATATAAAATAATAGATAATATAAAAACAAAATCAAGAGTACATAATAATAATTTAATATAGGATAAGTTTTATATAAATAAGATAATGAAATTAATAAATTTTTTTATAAAAAGTATATAGTTATTAATTTAATAATGTTATAACGTATAAGTCAGTGAACCTATCACTAAATATTGACTTAAAGAGTCGCCAACCATCTTTTATTAGGTGGCAATTGGGCGGGCGGTCTAACTGAATTTGCCATTTTAAAGAAAAATCCTAAGTTTGGCTCAAACATCTTAAAAAGATAGATTTAATGTTATAAAACCAGAAATTAGGTCCGGAAAGTAGCAATTAGTGTGAGAAAAGTTATAGCACCCCCACAACGCCTATTAAATGATATCGCTCGAGTTTCATGTTATCCATTAAGCTTTAAAAATCTTACTGAGTTAATTATTATTAAAAATTATTCTGTAATTACTCAATACTTTTGGTAAAAAAATTAAGAAATCCTCTAAACCTCAAAAGTATCAAAGAAAATATTGTCTCTTTTGCAAAAGTTCCGTCTTTGGATTATTTAACATTTAAAAATAATAAGAAATAAAAGAAAAAAAATAACACTTCAACTTTTCTTGAGAATGCTTTTCGTGTTTTATTATTATTATTATTTAAAAATTCATGCATTTATTCAATGAAAATTGATACTTTCAACCTTTTCTCAAAAAAACTCTTTCAAAATTTTTATTTTCAAGAAAAATTGATACTTTCAACTTTTCCTTAAAATATTTTTTTTTGAATTTTTAATTTTAATGAAAATTGATACTTTCAACTTTTTCTTAAAATATATATTTTTTAATTTTTATTTTCGAGAAAAATTGAAACTTTCAACTTTTTCTCAAAAATATTCTTTTTGAAATTTTTATTCTTTAAGGAAAATCTATACTCTCAATTTTTTCTTAAAATGTTTTTTGAAATTTTTGAAGATTTGCAAGAATTTTTGGTTAACAAAATTTCAAATTTGCAAAAATTAGAGCTTTAAATGATTTTCAGATTCGCAAGGATTGGAGATTCATAAGAATTTCAGATTCACAAAAATTAGAGATTCGCAAGATTTTCAGATTTGCAAAATTTGAAGATTCGCAAAAATTTTTTGTTCACAAAAATTTCAAATTTCCAAGATTTTTTGGTTCATAAGAATTGAAAATTCACAAAATTCAAATATTTGCATTCGAAAAACTTTCTAGGGATTCACAACCAAAATTTCAGAGGTTCTCATTCAAAAATTATAGGATTTTATTCAAAATTTCAAGGATTCTAATTCAAAAACACTGGGGATTCACATAAAAAAATTCAAGATTCTCATTTAAAATTCAAATATTCTTATTGAATTATGAAAAATTATTCTTGGAGGTCTTATAAATCTTCCTCAACATTGAAAATGCTTGTTCAAAAGGTTTCACAACTTTAAAAATTGGAATGTTTCCTCATCAAAAATCTCATTATGAAAAATTTTTCTTATTTAAGGTTTTAAAATTTCAAAATTTTCTTATTTTTTTCAAAATTTTGCATGATAGTAATGCAAATGCTTTTTCAATGATGCAAATATAATAACCTAGATTCTCACAATAATGCAAATGTCATATGCTAAACCATGATTTAAATATTTATTACATGATGCAAATGCATGACCAAACTATGATGCAGATGTAGTTATCAAAATAAAGATTCAAATATTCACCAAATTATGTACATGTATTATTCAAACAACAATGTAATACACATGTCACTAAAATCAATACCATGAAATTCTAATTGATTATGGTAATAAGGTTCTCAAAACTCCACTATCTCACATTTCTTTTTTAACTTCCTAGCACTAACATTTTCAGAATCAATTTACCAATTTCATTAACTAATCCATGTTATTTCCAGCATTTGGTCACAACACACATATTATATTGGTTGATCCATCGCCATATTCATCATTTGGATGCCACATTTGCCTTTTCAAATCATTATTTGGGTGCCATCCTTTTCATTTTCTTTTTGCCCCTGTCATCTTGGATTTCTTTTCAAAGGAATGCATGAATCTTTTATAGACATTGTCCTTCATTCATTATCATTTCAATTCATGATAAATACAATGCAAGCATACATTTTCTCTATTTATTCTAGGGAAGCAAAAATAAAGGAGCACAAAATGAATTAGGAAAAAGGTAATCAATGAGGAATGAGTCTAGTACAAAAATAAATGGGCAAAGGAATAACTTTAAAGCATGTCATTAGGGATGGTATTGAATGGTGTAATAATGTCCAAATAATGAATACTTAGATAATTCTCAACATTAATCCAATTTTTTTTTTTCAAAAACTCATTCCATTAACTTTCAAAATTATTTTGAGCTCATTGAACTTTGCCCCAACTTTTAGGGGATCTTCAAATGTCTTTGATCTTCCCTATATGAACTATCTACCCAACTCTCAGCTCAAAGGTTTTTTTACCTAAATCGCCTTTTTGGATTTTCAATTTGAGTCTTCTTTTTTTTTTCATTTTTTTTATTTTTTATTTTTTTTATTTTTTCGTTTTTTCTACTTCATCCATTATTAGTATCTTCTACACATCAATCTTTAAAACATAAGAACAAAGCATGATTACCTTACTCCATCACGACCATACCTTAGTCCAACATATGATAATTTAATTTGAGCATTCACATTCAATCAAAATAGACTTTTAAAGATTGCAATGTAGGATATAATGAGGCGTCATGAAAGAAATGGATAAAATAGGCCCAAAACATATGTTTAAAGGGTTCACATATCTTCTATACATCAATCTTTAAAACATAAGAACAAAGCATGATTACCTTACTCCATCATGACCATACCTTAGTCCAACATATGATAATTCAATTTGAGCATTCACATTCAATCAAAATAGACTTTTAAAGGTTGTAATGTAAGCTATAGTGAGGCGTCATGAAAGAAATGGATAAAATAGGCTCAAAACATATGTTTAAAGGGTTCAAACCAAATGATCATTTTTCATCATGTGATACAACTTGGCATTTTGCCCCATTCCACTCATTTCACTACTTTTTCTTTTTCATTCATCTTATTCCTCACAAAAAAATTCTCACTATTTTGCCCCAAATCATTTGTGGCATTTATTTTTCTTTTTTTTTTTATTTTTTTATAAAGGGTTTTTCTTTCTTTTCACTCCTTATCTTTAAGATCTTTTATTATCTTTTTTATTTTTTTCTCTTTTCAAGTAGGTTTTTTCATAGTTTTCCCCTAGTGTGGAGGGTGATCCTTGGTTGGGGATCTTTAGAAAAAATTATAACAGGCCCAAAAGGGGTAGCAATAGATGATTTTATTTTTATGAATGGTAAAAGAAAGACGATTATTTTTTATCTCAAATGTGAATGCTTTCATTGGTGATCATATTTTGAACAAAGACAGACTAATAGATGCCTCCAAGACATGTCTATTTTTCATGAATGATATCTGCTTGTAAATTACTTTTTTGCTCAAATAGTCTCCACAAATCAATATGAATGAGTTTTTAAAATTAAATCTTGGAATTATTGTTTATCATTGTCCAAACATTCACCATTTAAAATTTGAGAATGGGAATAAAATAGATATGGAAAGTAATAAAAAATAATGATTTGGATGAAAGAAAAAATGTAATGAAATGCATCAAGTTGCCTTTTATTAAAATGATAAAA